GTCACTTAATCAACGTCGTTATGCTGCAGACCCTGGTTTCCACTTGCAGTGGCATACACCCCGGGAGTATTTCCAACGCAGTGTAACTAGGCTTGTGCTTTCAGAAAACAGTCTGCTTTGGGGACGCTCTCAAATTCGATATGCGTGTGAGTTAGGGAGTGAAAAAATATCTGCTGTGTTTGAACATAAAAACAACTACATGGGTTCTCCTTTGTGGCACAAGTGCACAGCACGGCGTGGGTCGTCAGGGGTGTCTAAAATTCGGGTTCCGATTTTTTGGCCAAGATCTGTTTGACGGACAGTCATTCAGTGGACCCATATGAGTCGGTGGTTACGTACAGGATGACGTCTTCGATTGATGGTTTGTTCAGCGACACTCGGAGTTGCATTACGGGGTCCGAAAACGAATCGAGCTGACGCTGTCGGCGCTATATTGATTAGGAATCCCCCTCTTCTGGTTGTGATGTTATGAACTGTCAGCTCTGCGTGATTCCTCCTAAAACTTGGTTAACCTAGAGGCTACTTTCCCTTAGTTTGGTTTCTCAGCTAGAGATCTGAATTGCGCTGTTTATGCCGTTTTGACTGGCAAAGTCAGTATCACTCACTGATGTGTCTAAGAGTACACATTAAAATTTTATTAGCCGATCAATCAATTGTCATCAATTATCATAATTGTCGACCTTTTGATCTCCAGATATTATAAAAAAGAAACGCGGTACGTCCTTTTGTCGTCGCTTTTTCGGTGATATTATCGTAAATGGTTTCCATTACGAAAACAAACGATTTGTCTTCACTATTCACCGTTTGTCTATGTTGCACTCAAATCTACCGACAAGAATGACTGCACCTGTCCCCAGAGTAGTTTAAACTGTCAGCTATCGAGATGCGAATTCTCAGGACATCGCAGCTCTCGCTGCAGAAAATTTATTGTCTCTGACTGAAAAGCAGGACGATAGAGTAGGTATGTTGTGAGGTCATTTCAGAGGGCAATGCGTGGCCCGCAGTGCTACATAAGGATCAGTCGCTAACTGTAGGGATCCCGGAGGAACGATATGCTGAATAACCGTCTTTAGTCACTGTGCAAAGCAAAGCAGCTAGCAATCCTCACTTTAAAGTCAATTTGGGAGCGCCATCGAATAATTTTAGGAGAGAGTGAACGCTGGAAAAGGAAAAAGCAGCCCAATTTATTGAAACCAGGTGAGTTTTGAAGGTTAGCGCAAAGTTAGGAAAGGCCCATGGGAAGCGTGAATGAATACTACCAGAAACGTAATGATATTTCGTACCAAACTGAGAGTTTCCCAGAGCGCCCTTTGTTGACTGGTTTCTAAAGCA